AAATTCGCATATTTTGTTTAAAATTTATCTTTGCAACTGACTAGAACAGGCTTCTGACCTAAAAATGACATTAAGGGAAAAAAAAAAGCACATAATATCATAGAACCTACGTCATTGCGGTCAACCAAGTTACCAAGACGACCTCCGCTAGCCCATATCCTATCTACCACACTGAGGACCCTTTTGTTCACCCTCCATTTGGTGTTTCCAAGTGTATCCAGGGCCTGCCCACACAAAAGGTACAAGATGCACATTGCATATCATACTGTCAGCAGAAGATGTGTGCCACCCTTACAGGACAGTTGAAGAAGAGAAATTGCAGGTTTATGAACCTCATAGACTGGTCGCAACTGATTAATTGGTGCCCTTTTGACTGCTTCACGTTGCTGTCTTGCACCATGTGTGCGCATGACATACGAAGGAAGAAACAGATGGCCACCTTTGTCATAACTGCAAAACAAAGACCTGTCAGCCAAAAACAAAACAAAACAAAACAAAATTAAAGAAAATAAAATAAAATAAACCGCAGGTTTGTTTCCTCCCTTACAAAATATTGTTCTTCCAGTGGAAGCCCTAAGAGGATTTTCAGTGAAGATGACACTTGTTGACAAGCATTTAGAATTTGGCAGTGTTTCTCAGAATATAGTACTAGGCTGTACTCTCAGCTAAAATAAGCATAAGCAGATTCTGAACCTCAAGTCTCCACAACCAATCTTTCAATTACACACCAAACAATTTTTTTCTCCCACCAGACCGGTGGTGGTATGGGCAATTCTAGGTAATAAACAGGCTGATTTTCTATTTATCTTTTAGGCTATGGTACTACATTCTTAATCCATAGAATGTTATACAGCAATGCAAACAATCTGTTGCAATCAAATTCCGCTCCTTCAAGTTTCTGGCAGAAGATGCCTTGAAAAGAATCAAGGCACCTTTTGAATTCCTCAGCTTTTTAACTATACATACATACATATACATACATACTTACATAAATACATACATATATATATGGAGTAAGTCCCTTGTTTACATTGTTAGAGATGAATGCAACAAATGAATATTCCATACCACACACAACACAAATTCGAGTAGACTGGTTTAAAACAGGGGTTATGCTACAATTTTTGGGTAAATTAAAGAACACATAGAGCCAAGTCTTTTTGGTTTCACATTTAACTAATCAAAAGAGAAAGGCAAGCAGCATAATAGTGCAGTTAGACTTAAATTGAATTTACATATGACAGGGTGTTGCAATCCTAGAAAATAAAAAGAATTTAAAATTGCAGTACCCTGTCCACTTGACTGGAGGTACCAACATTGGCATGTAAGGGATAACCATGTGCCTGGCCTGTTCATAAATATGACAAATCTCAGGAAGAAACCTAAATTAAAGATGAGACAATGTATGATAAATCAACAAACTTAAGGTGACATAGCAAGGAACCTTCATCGTAAGACAACAAATTTACCCCAAGTTCTAAATTATTTGCAGTTCATTTCTAAGAACGCTTCAAATTCAAGAATAATTACATATACTTACAGTTCGCTCAAGGCCTTTGAGGACTAAAGGATCACACTGGATGATGCCATACCTTCTGCTAGGACTCCTACTTAAACAGAAGGCCATAAGCACTTTAAAGATGTAATAATAGACAGGAAAAACCACTAAAGGAAAAGTATCATTACTTTGTATTATTGGTTACAGTTCTAAATGTGTGTATAAATGCAGGCCTAATATCAGGTGGACAGTCTGCTAACTGATCAGCTGGAGACTGAATGTATGCTGTTTGCAGAAGCAACTCGATGAGACGGCTCCCAACCTACAAGCATAAATAAAAGCTGCACATTAAGACAGTTTCAAACTAAAGCTTCATAAACTCCCTATGTCAAGTATCAGATTAGATCAAACCTTTGCTTTAACCTCTGTACTCCAGGGTTTTGAATCATCTTGACCCTTCACTATCTGCTGCACCACATGCAGCTTTTGTTTTTTCATCAAATTTGTAACAGTTCGCCGTAGTTTCTCTTGTTCTTGAATTACACTGGTAGTCATATCTCCTTCCATTTTCATCTCTTCATTTACTTTTTTCTTCTTGGTTTTCTCCAGAAACTTGTGTATCCTAATCTGTACAGATCAAAAATTTTACAGAATAAAAACTACATAAATTATTGCAGGAACCAGATTTGAAACATCTGGCAACATCCCAATATTGAGAAAACTCTACAGTATGTTTGTGAACATGACAAGCATACATAGGCCATTGTTCTCATCAGTATGTCAGGCAAGCCAAAATGCTAGCAAATTACACAACAAAACATCAGTCCCAAAATGATCCATACACTCGCTAAGAAATACATATAAACATCCCCAGCTTCAAAGTCTATACAAGCAAAGAACTTTACAAACTCCACATATAGTACCAATTATTTCTATTAGCAATAACAATTAAAGGATGCATATGATCTGCCAACGAGAATCTCAATAAGGAAACGTATAAATTTTTTTCTACCTGTTTCGTTTTAAGACCTAAGGTTATCCAACATATCTACAAAACCATCTTTGCCTCAGAGGCTCACACAGGGTTTTAAACTGTGATGTCAAATTCATTGGTATATAGCATCCATCCATAACTATAGCAATTATAAATTAAAATCCTCAAAATGCCAATATTGTTACAAAAATTTTAAATAGCTACATTCAGTTCATGCTCTTGCCTGTCACAATATCATAATGTCTTCACAGTCACGTGAATATAGCAAGCTCAGTAACAACCTAATAAATCTTATCCTGCTTCTACCCTGTGGCATTTGGAGTATCAATCACACAAACCAAGATCACAATCATTTTGCAGTCCACATGAAACAATTTATAGATATGTCTAACAAGATGATCTCTTTCTCCCGCCTATTTTTCTTACAAACTCGTATAAAGAAGGGAATACACTTCTTCAATTACATTACATGATATCCTGATTGGTAATTCTTAATAAAGTTGAACTAGTGACCTGAGATTTCACCACTTACGTCTGTAAATCACTACATGTCAATCAGAGCAATTTAGGATGAATCAAGTACAGCACCTGCAGAACATGCTTTTAGAAAAAGGCGAACCCTCCATCTTAAGTTATGCTTTTGAAACCAAAGTAATTAGGTGAAAAATATTCTATTTCACTAACCTCCTGTTCAATAGCATCACCTATTAGACAAGCAGCTGGTACTACTCTTGCACTGCCATGCTCACCTCCTGTCATCAGCAATCCCATCAACTTATGCATAGTAATGACTGACATCATATCAGCTGGCAACTGATGAAAATACTTTGCATAGGCAGCCTTGCTTTTCCGCAGCCTACATAACTCCTGCTCCTCAGCAATCTTACTGCACAAAGGCTCAAACCATCCCAAAAAAAGCGACTTCATATATGGCAAATTTGGTGCTAACTTATGTTCGCACATATCATTCAACAGCTCCTTGTACTCGTTAGCTGCTTGTTCCCATGCCTCAGTCTCAATTTTCACTTGCCTCCTTTTCAGCGCATGGTACTTCTTACTGCCCATTCCATAAACTGCTCTATGATGCTTGCGCCACCGAAAGCTCATCTGCCTTCTGTCCTCCTTTTTCATTTCACTCAACAATTCATGAACCTCATCTGCGGCAACTACAGAAGTATCTTCTTCCACATCAGTTGATGAAACTGCAATCGCCTCGGCCAGACTTGCGTAGCTTTTCTGGCTCAGACCATTGATGCTAATTTGGTTCCTCGCAAAATTCAAACTTGGCCTGGCCAAAAACTCATCCCTAGTCGAAAACTCACCAACTTTTCGAAAACCCTGTTCTAGAAATCCGTTGCCGGAGCAGGGATTGAAGTCAAGAGTTGAAAACTTGAATTTCTCAGGAAAAATAGAATCTTGGGAAAACCAAGAAAACTGTAAGTTCGAGGTAGAGAGTGAGGATTAAAAATGGAACCAAATTCTTGGGTTCTGAGGGTTCTGGAAGAGACTAGTTTTGCTATATTTTTCCACATAACGGTGGAAATCTCGGGCGGTTTTAGTAAAAAATTCTCGGTTTATAAACTGGATTGGGGGTCAAGCGACCAATGTTGATATTCAGAGAAATGGGGGATTTGGTGCTGGACATCAAATTGTGAGGAATAAATGTTTAATGCAGAGGGGAAGCCTAGTTGAATAGATAGACTGGAGAGTAGATGCAAAATGGGGAAAGAAAATTTTCGAAGTAGAAGTTCATGTGATCAAAAAAAAAAATGTGGAATATAGACGACCGGGTGGGCATTTCGATTGGAGAATAAGCCAAAGTAACTTTTAAACCCTTCTTAAACCTTGGTGAGTCGGTGCCGCAGTCGAGCGAGCAGTGCGTAGTTCTTTGACGGTGGACTGTGGTCGCAGTCAGGCGAGAGGGTTTCATGGTTTTCGTTAATTCCGGGTAGCCCTTAGGCAGTTGGGCACTTGGGCCGCGCTAGCGTTGGGTGCAAAGCGATTTTGGTTTTCCTAATCGGACTTGTGCATAAAGGAATTCGCTGTTCGACCCTACAGCTATTGCCCATCAAAAAAATTGTCCGATTCAGAGACATGAAATGTAAAAGATCGTTGACAATTACAAGAATGTAAAAAGAAACGAAAAACAAAAGAAATTGGAAAAGGATTGTAGCAAAGCACGGAATGCGGCCATGAAAACAAAAAGGAAAGTGCAGAGGCCCATTTCCATTTGTTGAAGACAATGCCCTTAAGGTGCAAGTATTGCATGCAAACACCTTCTCTCTTTTTGCTTGGATTTTAAATTTTTGCTTGGCAAATACGAAAAATCTAATTTGGTTAAACGGAGTTTTAACCCTGATTTTCCATATGGTACTTCATTATGTCCAGTTACCATTCTGATTTCCAACCGTTCAGGACTTCAAAAAGTGGTTCAATTTTCAGGTTTTGCCTTAGCTACCAGCACCGCTGAGTTAACAGCGGTCGCGAAAATGGAAGAAAAGTGGGGAGTGTAGCAAAAGAAATTGGATCACGCATAAATATTTAACAAACAAGAAAAAGTGAACACTGAAATTCCAAAGCATATTCGAGCAGAGTTTAAAGCATGATCCGCTTCGGATTTTTCAACTTCTGTAGTGATGTTCAGACGATAGCTGGGCACTGGGTACTTTGGTCCTGGCTATAGCCTATATCATGTTGATCTTGGCATCTGACAGTTGTGTTCTGAAACACCAATGTGCAAAAAGGAGCTGTACCAAAATATCAACAAACGTTCAAATTGTTCTATGCCTGAGAAAAGTTATACGAGTTGCTTTAGTACTGCATCTTTCTAGTTAACGACCTAAAATGATTTTCAACTACTAGGAGCAATATAAGAATGTATTTTACCATCAGGCAATGCAGAAGTAAAAAGGGCCAACTATGAGAATTTGGAGCAAAAGAGATTGTCTTTCGTCATCACCATCGCCAAATTGCCATTGTCTGCGACATTGAAAATTCACATAACCCGCAATTCTAGTTGCCTGCAGGAAGAAGAGCAACAGATGAGGCTATCAATTAAAAAGTCTGATTGCCTGTAAATACAACATCTGCATCCACCAGGAACCTGGCAGAAATTTCATTCAGAGACTGCCCTATTAATAAAAAACACTTGTACTAACTACATTCAGAGCAAGGCTCAAGAAGAACTAAAAAGATGTTAGTGTTTGGATAGGAGATTATTTGAATAATTACTATAGCATCTTTTATAATGTGATATATGTGAGATCAGAAGTTGATTGGAAATTGTGTTTGTGACGTAAGCAAAATAAGTTAAAATGCATCTGAGAAGCAATCAAATGAGTTTGGATAAAGTTGCTTAATGTTTATAACTGTTGACTGAGCAGTTTGTTGTTTTACCCCCAGATTATAAAAGAAGCTCCATTTTTACCTCAACTCAGTTATTCTCTTGCAACCCAAAACTGTGAAAAACTTATTTTCTATAATTTCTAACACTGAAGCATTCATGCATTACAATGGGCAACTACATAGCAGGAGTTGGATATAACACGAAGCTCATTGTACTTTTTGGGATATAAAAGTGCTATTTCTTACTGTCTTCTTCCTTTGGAATTGACTGGTCAGAAGCACCAGAACAGAAGCCCAACATCAGCATGATCTCCTCTAAACGTTCAACATTTGTCAGATACAGAAGCCAACCTACAATTGACATAAAACTGTTTCACTTGAAATCAAAACTTTTTGGGAACAGAGATAAATTGTAGGAAACAAGCATCTCATTAGATATGGTCATAGAGAAAAGAATCTCAGAATGATTGTGGAACACATTCACAGAGTGCCCAATAAAAGTTGCTTTTTCATGGGGAGAACCACAGAGGATAACATGCTTAGAAATAACCTAATCTCAACTCTTTGCATCAATATATTTAATTCTGGAGCTGTAAATGACTGCGTACCAAATTTTGCAAGATAAATGAGGTGATACAAAACAGATGCATAACATTGAGATAATTGACCAAAGTTTAACACAAGAATGACATGAATATTTTTAAGCAATGGTTTGATCTCCTAGTATCATCCCAATAGAACTGACAAACTGAAAATGGAGGGAAAAACATGAAAGTCAATCAACAAATTTCTTAACATACGTATACATCTATGAATACTTATATGTACAGTAAGTAGGAAGAACTAACAAGAGTTTCCAGTGAAGAGGCCCTGTTGTAAACAGCCACCCCAGCACGCTTTTTGGTCCTTGTTTTTGATGAACCAACATTTTTCCCCCAACGAAGCACATCCCTGCACAAAGTGCTTATCAGATGCCACACTTAAGACAACTGCAGTTCTAATAACATACACACAACTTCTGGAAAACAATGATCATGGTTCCCAAGAAAATGCAGCAGCAACTTGAGATGAAATTGCTCCCCAGTGCAACGGAAACATAGAAATCTCATAGAGACACTTTTTCTCTTAAGATTATCAACTTTGGGACTTTCATAGTTGTTTTTTCCATTGTCTTAGGGCCCAGGAAGCAGGACCTACAATCTACAATATTATTATTCTTCAGAAGTTTGTTTCATCTGATAGACTAGAATATCAACAATTTCCCCTTTACTTCGGTGTAAATGCACACTTGAGTTTTCTCTACCCTCGAGGGAATGACTATGCCTATTCATCTGCAACAGAAGATACGTTTGCATACAATTTAAAATTCTGAAGAAGCACTTTTAAGAAATAAACATAACACCAACCTTTCTTGTTCTGACAAGAAATCATCATTAATAAGTTTTTGCAGCATCGCATCCTGAAACATAGCAAGTACATCAAAAAAGATTCTAAACATATTTGTGCTGGGAAACAACAAGGAATATGCATTTGAATCGGGAAGAGAAAAAACAAAAGAAATGGAAGTTAATATAGAACGCAGACATAGATTCACTCTTTATTCAGCTGAACCAACTCTCTTATGCAACAAGTAGTGAAAGAATGGGAAACCAATTTAAAGAAAATGAAAAGAAACTTTTTCTTTTCCTTTTTTTTTTTTTTTGGGTAAAACTACAATTTGAACACTTTCTACAAAAAATGATAAAAAGCCTAAGATATGAATAGAGCACTAAACCACGCTAGGGATGGATGGCAGCAAAATATGTGGTCTTACAAGGATTTCTATGCTCATGAGAATGCTTTCTTCAACAATCTTTGTAACTTCATAGAAACAAGTACAACATACTAGACGCAATCTAGGCAAAAACTTCCTCAGCTTATATGAAAAGAAAACCAGAATTCTATTCTTACTTGGGCCTCACAACGCACAACTGCCGTCACACGATCATTGTATTCTTCAATATTCAGAGGAGGAACAAGAAAGTGTCTTCGAGCATATAACTGCATCATCAGATTCAGGAAGTAGTAAAAGCAAAACAGATTAGTAAAAGAACCAACCTTCAAAAGAGAAAATCATTAGCTCTCTAACCACATAAAAAATCAGAGCAGCTAACTTATTAAATTCTCGAAAATTTACTAGTGTGGAGTTATCAAAAGAATATTCTTTCTTTCGTATACAATTTTTACTTGCAAATTTTCGGCCGAGAATCTGATTAGCACCAAGTTATGGCAACAAGCAGTCGCCATTCTGATACTTACCAAATACCATCAAGTTTCCATTGTTATTTAATTTAACTCTCAAACTCTTCCTGAACTCCCATCCCCAAGTTTAAAAAGCACAGCAAAGAAGAAGAAAACCTCGTAAATGCAGTCTCCAATGTAAGCCAACGATGCCGCGTTGAAAACAGAACGAGGCTTCTCCACCTTGGGAGGACTGGGAAGCCATCTCTCGTATCCCAAGTACGTCATTTCACTTTCACAGAGAGTCCCTATCGTAATATATCCCGCAGCTAATTCAAATTCAATTTAAAGAAAAAAAGGTGTATTCCGGGCCTCTGTCAATAATTGCGTTTTAATTACTTGTAACTAGTAATTTAACTATACCTTTGGCGGTGGTAGAGGAGGGGGCGGGAGTGGCGCGTTTCAGGAGGTCGGAAACCGATATGCTGGAGGTGGAAAGCGTGGAGTCAGATCAAGTTGGGGTTTTTGGGGTTTAGCAGGGTAGGTGCGATGTGGGTTATAAGGCAATCTCTGCTTGGTGTCCACTGATGACGTCGTTAGCGCTGCTGTTGTGTCTTTCCGATTGGGGTGCACCAGGAGTGTGCCCGAGAGCGAAAGCCTTGGAAGAGCCGCAGCCATGGCGGTGTTTCTGTGTCTCTAATTACTATATAGGATTTTAACCGCTACTGAAGTCGTCGAATGCGTTATTGTTACAAAATGTTGCTGAACTTGCGCCTTATAAGTGAAATGGAAGCTTGAAAGAGAAGAGGCGAAATGCATTATAGGTACTATATGGGATTTTACGACTTTAAACCTTTATAGTTTTGCTCAACATGTGAGTTGCGACAAATTCGACGGCTGTCTTTGCACTTCACCGGAAAAATTAGCTGCCATCTACCACCACCTCCTCCTGTCATACATATATATACACACGTTCTGACAATGAAATGGTTAAACAATGGTCTTTGAACAAAACTCCTTCGTTATATGGGTGCTTACTTCTTGATGCCCATTGGCTGAAGAGCAAGCCTTTACTTATTTATTTATTATTTCTGTATGCTTTTTCTTCCTGGGTATGCAAGACATTGTCCAATTCCCAGGCAGAGATGGATAGAACGTCTTCCAACTTAGGAAATGTGGATTATACCCACCAAGGCGTCAAGACTGGAAACTGAAAGACGAGCGGAGCAAGTTAAACTACAGTGGAACCCTGTAAAGTTGTGCCTTGCATTTGCATTAACAAAAAACATTAGCCACCAAAATCATAGATAAAGTTATCAAAATGACACCATGACCAGGCCCCTGATTCCTGCCCTTCCACGGCCACCAGCTCCCTCACGGAATAAAAATTGAAGAAAGGAAAGTCCATAAATTAGTTGTTCCCTGCTGTACATCCCAACCCCTTCTTAATTTCCCAAGTAATTTCCTCAAAATATGTAAGTTTTCGAGTCTTGTGAGGTCAATGAACACATATTTGTACAAATCATCCAAGCTAGGCAAACCTTTACATGGAAGAAAAGTTCTCAGTAGCCTTAATTCTTGAAGCCATTCAGCACATGTGATCCATAGAAAGCGCAGACAACAGAAAAAAGGCAAGCCTGGACCAGTTTAAAATTCACCATGACAAGCTCAGCCAGTTGACGAGGAACATGGAACTTGGTCATTCTAAGCGTGCATATCTGATAAATATTAACCATACATCAAGAGAGAGAACCTTTAGAACACAAACTGCAAGCAAGTATTTAAGGCTTTAAAAAGAAAGATTTCTTGTATCCACTTTCTGTAAAAAACATATAGGCGGTGAATCAATGCATGTGTCTGTGGTCTTATCTTGTGCACCGATGCCACTCGCCAATCTAATAATAGGGATCTCTATCTCCTACCCTCTGGATAAAGGATAGATGACCTTACCTCGTTTTCCATTTTAGGGTGTGACTAAACTAGTAGCCCTAGACAAAGCAAAATTTAGAAAAGAAAAATCACAAACACAAGATGTTGCATGACTGAGCAATAGAGTCACTAATTTCTTGCACAAAGATTGCATGATTAAATGACATAAATTCCAAACATAAAAGTGCCAAACTTAAACTGGTATTTGTACGAAATTAGGATTAACAATGATGTTTTTATTCTTCTTCCAAACATATTGAACTCAACTTACGTATTTTATGGAAGAAGAATAAAGACATCAATACAGTATCTAATTTTGAATAAAATGAACAATATTGGAGTAAATAAGCCAACAAACTTAAACTGCTTTACTGCAATTATGGACATAGCATAAAGGAGATCTCTCACTGGACAATCAAACAAATTGTTGGCCAATGAAAAGAGCAAATAAGATTAAAAATATCTTTTACACTGACCTTTCCTTCATCCTCAGATCTTTGCTCCTGCAGGCTTGAAACAATCAATATTGCACAATACTGCTGATCTCATCATCTCTCCAAAGCTGCACCACCGATTTTAACAGTCAAAAAGAAAGCTTTTGCATCTATAATAATATCCCAAGTTCAAAAAACAAAAAATGTAAGCTTAGGCAGCAAAGTTAATCCAACCGGTCAATGCTGTTCCTAGCTCTTTCCGGCTGTTCTGAGTATTATTTGCTTTTTCAGAAAAATCCACACTCTTTCGAGATCTTTCTCTCCTGTCAACACTGGCTCTTGACTTCTCTCTAAGGTCTGACATTGCTTTAGGTTTCTCCCTCTGGTCAATACTCAGCCTAGACTTCTCTCTCTGATCCGTGCTTGATCTAGGTCTACAATCTGTGCTGTTACGGGCAGCGTCCATTTGATCTGAAGGTGGCATTGAACCACTTCTAAAATGCGATGACTTCTCTATAGCTGATATAAATTTCTTCAGATGCTTAATATACTCAGGATAAAGCTCCAAATCACAATGGTTGCCGCCTTTACCCATAATGGCTCATATTTCTCTTTACATAGCTCCCAAAGCTGCTTGCCATGAGAGCAATCCACAACGTCATCTGCTGTTCCCTGTAAATGCCAAAAGCAGCATATCTAAGAACAGCAACTGGGAAATTTCCAATTTGAGAAGGTCCAGCTGCATTGCATGGTGAATCACTATATGAAATTATTGTACAACATTTATGCCACTGATGAAGCCAACAAGGAATACCGGCAAACGGGTTTTCCATTTACTATTGCAAAATGTCAAAAAAAAAAGGACAAAGAAAAAAAAAGTAGTTACCAACATCATAAGAAAAGAAAATGCAAAATAATTACACTAAAATTCCATCTTGTCCCAATTTTTTCTTTTGAGTGGAGAAAAACTCCTGATACAGCATAGACAATGGTAGAACAGCAGATAATACTTACATGGATTACCAAAACAGGACTCTGAACCAATGGTATTTTCTCGATATTCTGCATTTCATAAAAACAAAGGGAAAAAGAAAAGGCAGAGTTAAGCAGGAATGAGAATTGAGTGTGGGTAAAATTGATCAGACATGAGGACTGGCTTCACATTCATAGTCACGTTAAAGAATGCTACCTTGTATATATCAAACCAATAAGTGCGCTTCACTGGATACATAACACGAAGACCAGACATGATTGGACTGTGAAGAACCACAGCCCTTAACCGTGATAATCTGGATGCCAAATCCAAAGTTGGACCACTACCAACAGATTGCCCATATAATATTATATCTTCTTCGTTTGCCCCATATTTCTCCAGAAGACATCTATATGCCGCTTCTATGTCAGCATAAGTGTTCTGCTCGCTTGGCTAGTACAAATATTAAAACAGACAACTTAGTCGAGCATGCCCTAAATCAGAAACTACTTCGAAATGGAAGAAAAAAGTTAGACTCAAGCTCCATACTCTACCTTTCCAGTAGACTGTCCATATCCTGAATAGTCATACCTGCCCAAAACATTTTCGGGTAAACAAATCTCAAATGTCAGGATGTGAATAAGTTTAACATGCACAAGCATATATAAGAAAGCAGTTCACTTGTCGTCTCTGCACAAAAAGTTGCCTCTTTTCATCCACCTCACCTCGACAAGGATAAAAAAGGATTAAAAACTAAAACCACTTGAAATATAAGCTTCCCTAACAATTTCAAGTCTTTTAAATTGTCAGAGAAAAGCAATATAATCAGGCATGAGCTACTGATCCGCTCCCAACAATCAAATACCAATTACTATCGAAACAGAAAAAATAAGCATCGCAAAATGGTTAGAACTCGCGGTCAATCTCCCTGTCAAAAAAATAAATAAAACCACTAACTCTCCAGTGGCCCATCACGAACTCAGTAGCTAAATCTACCGCACTCGCTTTCATGGTTGCATTAAAAATCAAATCTTTTGTAGCAGTGACATATGAATACATGCATGAATGGTCTGAAAAGTCTTATTGTCAACAGAGAACAACAGATGACCCAAATCAAATGGACATGACACTTTAAAACTACATGGGACTTTACTAGGTTTAATAATTGCACTTTCTGTTAACTGTCACCCCAAATATAGCTAAATGCTCAAGAATAGAAAACAAGGTTTTGTTGTTCTTTAAAGATTGACCTGAACAACTCATTGGCCATTCATTTACAAACAAGTGACAACAGAAGAGAAAATTTGGTTTTTTTTTTTTTGGGTTTTGGGGGGGGGGGGGGGGTTGTGCATACACAGGACAAAGAAAGGGCCATTACCTTGTCTCTTCCAAGAGCAGCATAGTGCTGTAAACCATTGCAGGAACCATCCTGAATAATTGAATGACACAAAGAAAACAAGAAAGAATATTTTATCAGCGGTGAGCCTCAGAAATGATAATTGCATATCTAACAAACACAAAGAAAGAAATTGAGATCCAGCTGAAACACTTGAAAGAAAAAAAATAAATTGATGCTATATGCCAAACCTAGAGGTCCCTCTTTCAGAAAACTAAGAGATTAGAAAGCGTAAAGCTCAAAAAGAAATGTAGTAGGTCAAATAATCAATGCTGTCGGGAAGTTCAGTGTTAATCTTCACCACAAAATGCCATCAAAAATTTGTCAAAACCAGGGATTGTCATTGCATGGCAAACTGATACCTGATGAACAGGAATATGCGAAATAGTTGTCTCAGGAGACTGGCTTCTCAAGGCTTCTGAGAGATTTATACATACAGCCAAACACTGGAATGGATCTTCAGCATTTAACCACCAACGTCGTCCTTCAAGTGGCCTGTCAGCTGAATCAAATATATCCTCCAGGTGATTTTCAGTAAAGGCTATTCTAGCCTCATTAGATAATTTATCTACACCATTTGCAAATAAATTTGCCAAGTGTATCTTCAGCCAGTGCAGGCCTGACTTTCCAAGAGGACGTCCCTCTGCAAACTCAAGCATACCTCTACATACATCAGATCCCAGATGATTTAAATGTGGATGCATTGGATATGCACGGCCTCGAAAATCAAGGTTGTGTGGATAGAAAAAACCTCCTTCATCTTTCATTCTTCGGGCCACCTGTTCAACAGTTCTTATCAAGTTCATGCAAATTTTGCTTAATATATATTGGAAAAGGCCATAAAAAACAAAGAAAACTTTCCAACATACAGCAAGTTTTAACTCTATATCACAACGTTGTGAGTGCCTTTCACTGTTTTCTTTTTTGATAGATTTAACTTTCCATTTCCACTTCCTCAGTATAGCTTCGTCCTCCGTTTCAGGTTCCTCTGGCAAAGCGATCTGCATAATAAGAAAAATTCGCATATTTTGTTTAAAATTTATCTTTGCAACTGACTAGAACAGGCTTCTGACCTAAAAATGACATTAAGGGAAAAAAAAAAGCACATAATATCATAGAACCTACGTCATTGCGGTCAACCAAGTTACCAAGACGACCTCCGCTAGCCCATATCCTATCTACCACACTGAGGACCCTTTTGTTCACCCTCCATTTGGTGTTTCCAAGTGTATCCAGGGCCTGCCCACACAAAAGGTACAAGATGCACATTGCATATCATACTGTCAGCAGAAGATGTGTGCCACCCTTACAGGACAGTTGAAGAAGAGAAATTGCAGGTTTATGAACCTCATAGACTGGTCGCAACTGATTAATTGGTGCCCTTTTGACTGCTTCACGTTGCTGTCTTGCACCATGTGTGCGCATGACATACGAAGGAAGAAACAGATGGCCACCTTTGTCATAACTGCAAAACAAAGACCTGTCAGCCAAAAACAAAAACAAAACAAAACAAAATTAAAGAAAATAAAATAAAATAAACCGCAGGTTTGTTTCCTCCCTTACAAAAATATTGTTCTTCCAGTGGAAGCCCTAAGAGGATTTTCAGTGAAGATGACACTTGTTGACAAGCATTTAGAATTTGGCAGTGTTTCTCAGAATATAGTACTAGGCTGTACTCTCAGCTAAAATAAGCATAAGCAGATTCTGAACCTCAAGTCTCCACAACCAATCTTTCAATTACACACCAAACAATTTTTTTCTCCCACCAGACCGGTGGTGGTATGGGCAATTCTAGGTAATAAACAGGCTGATTTTCTATTTATCTTTTAGGCTATGGTACTACATTCTTAATCCATAGAATGTTATACAGCAATGCAAACAATCTGTTGCAATCAAATTCCGCTCCTTCAAGTTTCTGGCAGAAGATGCCTTGAAAAGAATCAAGGCACCTTTTGAATTCCTCAGCTTTTTAACTATACATACATACATATACATACATACTTACATAAATACATACATATATATATGGAGTAAGTCCCTTGTTTACATTGTTAGAGATGAATGCAACAAATGAATATTCCATACCACACACAACACAAATTCGAGTAGACTGGTTTAAAACAGGGGTTATGCTACAATTTTTGGGTAAATTAAAGAACACATAGAGCCAAGTCTTTTTGGTTTCACATTTAACTAATCAAAAGAGAAAGGCAAGCAGCATAATAGTGCAGTTAGACTTAAATTGAATTTACATATGACAGGGTGTTGCAATCCTAGAAAATAAAAAGAATTTAAAATTGCAGTACCCTGTCCACTTGACTGGAGGTACCAACATTGGCATGTAAGGGATAACCATGTGCCTGGCCTGTTCATAAATATGACAAATCTCAGGAAGAAACCTAAATTAAAGATGAGACAATGTATGATAAATCAACAAACTTAAGGTGACATAGCAAGGAACCTTCATCGTAAGACAACAAATTTACCCCAAGTTCTAAATTATTTGCAGTTCATTTCTAAGAACGCTTCAAATTCAAGAATAATTACATATACTTACAGTTCGCTCAAGGCCTTTGAGGACTAAAGGATCACACTGGATGATGCCATACCTTCTGCTAGGACTCCTACTTAAACAGAAGGCCATAAGCACTTTAAAGATGTAATAATAGACAGGAAAAACCACTAAAGGAAAAGTATCATTACTTTGTATTATTGGTTACAGTTCTAAATGTGTGTATAAATGCAGGCCTAATATCAGGTGGACAGTCTGCTAACTGATCAGCTGGAGACTGAATGTATGCTGTTTGCAGAAGCAACTCGATGAGACGGCTCCCAACCTACAAGCATAAATAAAAGCTGCACATTAAGACAGTTTCAAACTAAAGCTTCATAAACTCCCTATGTCAAGTATCAGATTAGATCAAACCTTTGCTTTAACCTCTGTACTCCAGGGTTTTGAATCATCTTGACCCTTCACTATCTGCTGCACCACATGCAGCTTTTGTTTTTTCATCAAATTTGTAACAGTTCGCCGTAGTTTCTCTTGTTCTTGAATTACACTGGTAGTCATATCTCCTTCCATTTTCATCTCTTCATTTACTTTTTTCTTCTTGGTTTTCTCCAGAAACTTGTGTATCCTAATCTGTACAGATCAAAAATTTTACAGAATAAAAACTACATAAATTATTGCAGGAACCAGATTTGAAACATCTGGCAACATCCCAATATTGAGAAAACTCTACAGTATGTTTGTGAACATGACAAGCATACATAGGCCATTGTTCTCATCAGTATGTCAGGCAAGCCAAAATGCTAGCAAATTACACAACAAAACATCAGTCCCAAAATGATCCATACACTCGCTAAGAAATACATATAAACATCCCCAGCTTCAAAGTCTATACAAGCAAAGAACTTTACAAACTCCACATATAGTACCAATTATTTCTATTAGCAATAACAATTAAAGGATGCATATGATCTGCCAACGAGAATCTCAATAAGGAAACGTATAAATTTTTTTCTACCTGTTTCGTTTTAAGACCTAAGGTTATCCAACATATCTACAAAACCATCTTTGCCTCAGAGGCTCACACAGGGTTTTAAACTGTGATGTCAAATTCATTGGTATATAGCATCCATCCATAACTATAGCAATTATAAATTAAAATCCTCAAAATGCCAATATTGTTACAAAAATTTTAAATAGCTACATTCAGTTCATGCTCTTGCCTGTCACAATATCATAATGTCTTCACAGTCACGTGAATATAGCAAGCTCAGTAACAACCTAATAAATCTTATCCTGCTTCTACCCTGTGGCATTTGGAGTATCAATCACACAAACCAAGATCACAATCATTTTGCAGTCCACATGAAACAATTTATAGATATGTCTAACAAGATGATCTCTTTCTCCCGCCTATTTTTCTTACAAACTCGTATAAAGAAGGGAATACACTTCTTCAATTACATTACATGATATCCTGATTGGTAATTCTTAATAAAGTTGAACTAGTGACCTGAGATTTCACCACTTACGTCTGTAAATCACTACATGTCAATCAGAGCAATTTAGGATGAATCAAGTACAGCACCTGCAGAACATGCTTTTAGAAAAAGGCGAACCCTCCATCTTAAGTTATGCTTTTGAAACCAAAGTAATTAGGTGAAAAATATTCTATTTCACTAACCTCCTGTTCAATAGCATCACCTATTAGACAAGCAGCTGGTACTACTCTTGCACTGCCATGCTCACCTCCTGTCATCAGCAATCCCATCAACTTATGCATAGTAATGACTGACATCATATCAGCTGGCAACTGATGAAAATACTTTGCATAGGCAGCCTTGCTTTTCCGCAGCCTACATAACTCCTGCTCCTCAGCAATCTTACTGCACAAAGGCTCAAACCATCCCAAAAAAAGCGACTTCATATATGGCAAATTTGGTGCTAACTTATGTTCGCACATATCATTCAACAGCTCCTTGTACTCGTTAGCTGCTTGTTCCCATGCCTCAGTCTCAATTTTCACTTGCCTCCTTTTCAGCGCATGGTACTTCTTACTGCCCATTCCATAAACTGCTCTATGATGCTTGCGCCACCGAAAGCTCATCTGCCTTCTGTCCTCCTTTTTCATTTCACTCAACAATTCATGAACCTCATCTGCGGCAACTACAGAAGTATCTTCTTCCACATCAGTTGATGAAACTGCAATCGCCTCGGCCAGACTTGCGTAGCTTTTCTGGCTCAGACCATTGATGCTAATTTGGTTCCTCGCAAAATTCAAACTTGGCCTGGCCAAAAACTCATCCCTAGTCGAAAACTCACCAACTTTTCGAAAACCCTGTTCTAGAAATCCGTTGCCGGAGCAGGGATTGAAGTCAAGAGTTGAAAACTTGAATTTCTCAGGAAAAATAGAATCTTGGGAAAACCCAAGAAAACTGTAAGTTCGAGGTAGAGAGTGAGGATTAAAAATGGAACCAAATTCTTGGGTTCTGAGGGTTCTGGAAGAGACTAGTTTTGCTATATTTTTCCACATAACGGTGGAAATCTCGGGCGGTTTTAGTAAAAAAATTCTCGGTTTATAAACTGGATTGGGGGTCAAGCGACCAATGTTGATATTCAGAGAAATGGGGGATTTGGTGCTGGACATCAAATTGTGAGGAATAAATGTTTAATGCAGAGGGGAAGCCTAGTTGAATAGATAGACTGGAGAGTAGATGCAAAATGGGGAAAGAAAATTTTCGAAGTAGAAGTTCATGTGATCAAAAAAACAAATGTGGAATATAGACGACCGGGTGGGCATTTCGATTGGAGAATAAGCCAATAGCAAACTTTAAACCCTTCTTAAACCTTGGTGAGTCGGTGCCGCAGTCGAGCGAGCAGTGCGTAGTTCTTTGACGGTGGACTGTGGTCGCAGTCAGGCGAGAGGGTTTCATGGTTTTCGTTAATTCCGGGTAGCCCCTTAGGCAGTTGGGCACTTGGGCCGCGCTAGCGTTGGGTGCAAAGCGATTTTGGTTTTCCTAATCGGACTTGTGCATAAAGGAATTCGCTGTTCGACCCTACAGCTATTGCCCATCAAAAAAATTGTCCGATTCAGAGACATGAAATGTAAAAGATCGTTGACAATTACAAGAATGTAAAAAGAAACGAAAAACAAAAGAAATTGGAAAAGGATTGTAGCAAAGCACGGAATGCGGCCATGAAAACAAAAAGGAAAGTGCAGAGGCCCATTTCCATTTGTTGAAGACAATGCCCTTAAGGTGCAAGTATTGCATGCAAACACCTTCTCTCTTTTTGCTTGGATTTTAAATTTTTGCTTGGCAAATACGAAAAATCTAATTTGGTTAAACGGAGTTTTAACCCTGATTTTCCATATGGTACTTCATTATGTCCAGTTACCATTCTGATTTCCAACCGTTCAGGACTTCAAAAAGTGGTTCAATTTTCAGGTTTTGCCTTAGCTACCAGCACCGCTGAGTTAACAGCGGTCGCGAAAATGGAAGAAAAGTGGGGAGTGTAGCAAAAGAAATTGGATCACGCATAAATATTTAACAAACAAGAAAAAGTGAACACTGAAATTCCAAAGCATATTCGAGCAGAGTTTAAAGCATGATCCGCTTCGGATTTTTCAACTTCTGTAGTGATGTTCAGACGATAGCTGGGCACTGGGTACTTTGGTCCTGGCTATAGCCTATATCATGTTGATCTTGGCATCTGACAGTTGTGTTCTGAAACACCAATGTGCAAAAAGGAGCTGTACCAAAATATCAACAAACGTTCAAATTGTTCTATGCCTGAGAAAAGTTATACGAGTTGCTTTAGTACTGCATCTTTCTAGTTAACGACCTAAAATGATTTTCAACTACTAGGAGCAATATAAGAATGTATTTTACCATCAGGCAATGCAGAAGTAAAAAGGGCCAACTATGAGAATTTGGAGCAAAAGAGATTGTCTTTCGTCATCACCATCGCCAAATTGCCATTGTCTGCGACATTGAAAATTCACATAACCCGCAATTCTAGTTGCCTGCAGGAAGAAGAGCAACAGATGAGGCTATCAATTAAAAAGTCTGATTGCCTGTAAATACAACATCTGCATCCACCAGGAACCTGGCAGAAATTTCATTCAGAGACTGCCCTATTAATAAAAAAACACTTGTACTAACTACATTCAGAGCAAGGCTCAAGAAGAACTAAAAAGATGTTAGTGTTTGGATAGGAGATTATTTGAATAATTACTATAGCATCTTTTATAATGTGATGTATGTGAGATCAGAAGTTGATTGGAAATTGTGTTTGTGACGTAAGCAAAATAAGTTAAAATGCATCTGAGAAGCAATCAAATGAGTTTGGATAAAGTTGCTTAATGTTTATAACTGTTGACTGAGCAGTTTGTTGTTCTTACCCCCAGATTATAAAAGAAGCTCCATTTTTACCTCAACTCAGTTATTCTCTTGCAACCCAAAACTGTGAAAAACTTATTTTCTATAATTTCTAACACTGAAGCATTCATGCATTACAATGGGCAACTACATAGCAGGAGTTGGATATAACACGAAGCTCATTGTACTTTTTGGGATATAAAAGTGCTATTTCTTACTGTCTTCTTCCTTTGGAATTGACTGGTCAGAAGCACCAGAACAGAAGCCCAACATCAGCATGATCTCCTCTAAACGTTCAACATTTGTCAGATACAGATAGCCAACCTACAATTGACATAAAACTGTTTCACTTGAAATCAAAACTTTTTGGGAACAGAGATAAATTGTAGGAAACAAGCATCTCATTAGATATGGTCATAGAGAAAAGAATCTCAGAATGATTGTGGAACACATTCACAGAGTGCCCAATAAAAGTTGCTTTTTCATGGGGAGAACCACAGAGGATAACATGCTTAGAAATAACCTAATCTCAACTCTTTGCATCAATATATTTAATTCTGGAGCTGTAAATGACTGCGTACCAAATTTTGCAAGATAAATGAGGTGATACAAAACAGATGCATAACATTGAGATAATTGACCAAAGTTTAACACAAGAATGACATGAATATTTTTAAGCAATGGTTTGCTCTCCTAGTATCATCCCAATAGAACTGACAAACTGAAAATGGAGGGAAAAACATGAAAGTCAATCAACAAATTTCTTAACATACGTATACATCTATGAATACTTATATGTACAGTAAGTAGGAAGAACTAACAAGAGTTTCCAGTGAAGAGGCCCTGTTGTAAACAGCCACCCCAGCACGCTTTTTGGTCCTTGTTTTTGATGAACCAACATTTTTCCCCCAACGAAGCACATCCCTGCACAAAGTGCTTATCAGATGCCACACTTAAGACAACTGCAGTTCTAATAACATACACACAACTTCTGGAAAACAATGATCATGGTTCCCAAGAAAATGCAGCAGCAACTTGAGATGAAATTGCTCCCCAGTGCAACGGAAACATAGAAATCTCATAGAGACACTTTTTCTCTTAAGATTATCAACTTTGGGACTTTCATAGTTGTTTTTTCCATTGTCTTAGGGCCCAGGAAGCAGGACCTACAATCTACAATATTATTATTCTTCAGAAGTTTGTTTCATCTGATAGACTAGAATATCAACAATTTCCCCTTTACTTCGGTGTAAATGCACATTGAGTTTTCTCTACCCTCGAGGGAATGACTATGCCTATTCATCTGCAACAGAAGATACGTTTGCATACAATTTAAAATTCTGAAGAAGCACTTTTAAGAAATAAACATAACACCAACCTTTCTTGTTCTGACAAGAAATCATCATTAATAAGTTTTTGCAGCATCGCATCCTGAAACATAGCAAGTACATCAAAAAAGATTCTAAACATATTTGTGCTGGGAAACAACAAGGAATATGCATTTGAATCGGGAAGAGAAAAAACAAAAGAAATGGAAGTTAATATAGAACGCAGACATAGATTCACTCTTTATTCAGCTGAACCAACTCTATTATGCAACAAGTAGTGAAAGAATGGGAAACCAATTTAAAGAAAATGAAAAGAAACTTTTTCTTTTCCTTTTTTTTTTTTTTTTTGGGTAAAACTACAATTTGAACACTTTCTACAAAAAATGATAAAAAGCCTAAGATATGAATAGAGCACTAAACCACGCTAGGGATGGATGGCAGCAAAATATGTGGTCTTACAAGGATTTCTATGCTCATGAGAATGCTTTCTTCAACAATCTTTGTAACTTCATAGAAACAAGTACAACATACTAGACGCAATCTAGGCAAAAACTTCCTCAGCTTATATGAAAAGAAAACCAGAATTCTATTCTTACTTGGGCCTCACAACGCACAACTGCCGTCACACGATCATTGTATTCTTCAATATTCAGAGGAGGAACAAGAAAGTGTCTTCGAGCATATAACTGCATCATCAGATTCAGGAAGTAGTAAAAGCAAAACAGATTAGTAAAAGAACCAACCTTCAAAAGAGAAAATCATTAGCTCTCTAACCACATAAAAAATCAGAGCAGCTAACTTATTAAATTCTCGAAAATTTACTAGTGTGGAGTTATCAAAAGAATATTCTTTCTTTCGTATACAATTTTTACTCGCAAATTTTCGGGCCGAGAATCTGATTAGCACCAAGTTATGGCAACAAGCAGTCGCCATTCTGATACTTACCAAATACCATCAAATTTCCATTGTTATTTAATTTAACTCTCAAACTCTTCCTGAACTCCCATCCCCAAGTTTAAAAAGCACAGCAAAGAAGAAGAAAACCTCGTAAATGCAGTCTCCAATGTAAGCCAACGATGCCGCGTTGAAAACAGAACGAGGCTTCTCCACCTTGGGAGGACTGGGAAGCCATCTCTCGTATCCCAAGTACGTCATTTCACTTTCACAGAGAGTCCCTATCGTAATAATACCCCGCAGCTAATTCAAATTCAATTTAAAGGAAAAAAAGGTGTATTCCGGGCCTCTGTCCAATAATTGCGTTTTAATTACTTGTAACTAGTAATTTAACTATACCTTTGGCGGTGGTAGAGGAGGGGGCGGGAGTGGCGCGTTTCAGGAGGTCGGAAACCGATATGCTGGAGGTGGAAAGCGTCGGAGTCAGATCAAGTTGGGGTTTTTGGGGTTTAGCAGGGTAGGTGCGATGTGGGTTATAAGGCAATCTCTGCTTGGTGTCCACTGATGACGTCGTTAGCGCTGCTGTTGGTATCTTCCGATTGGGGTGCACCAGGAGTGTGCCCGAGAGCGAAAGCCTTGGAAGAGCCGCAGCCATGGCGGTGTTTCTGTGTCTCTAATTACTATATAGGATTTTAACCGCTACTGAAGTCGTCGAATGCGTTATTGTTACAAAATGTTGCTGAACTTGCGCCTCTATAAGTGAAATGGAAGCTTGAAAGAGAAGAGGCGAAATGCATTATAGGTACTATATGGGATTTTACGACTTTAAACCTTTATAGTTTTGCTCAACATTGTGAGTTGCGACAAATTCGACGGCTGTCTTTGCACTTCACCGGAAAAATTAGCTGCCATCTACCACCACCTCCTCCTGTCATACATATATATACACACGTTCTGACAATGAAATGGTTAAACAATGGTCTTTGAACCCAAAACTCCTTCGTTATATGGGGTGCTTACTTCTTGATGCCCATTGGCTGAAGAGCAAGCCTTTACTTATTTATTTATTATTTCTGTATGCTTTTTCTTCCTGGGTATGCAAGACATTGTCCAATTCCCAGGCAGAGAAGGATAGAACGTCTTCCAACTTAGGAAATGTGGATTATACCCACCAAGGCGTCAAGACTGGAAACTGAAAGACGAGCGGAGCAAGTTAAACTACAGTGGAACCCTGTAAAGTTGTGCCTTGCATTTGCATTAACAAAAAACATTAGCCACCAAAATCATAGATAAAGTTATCAAAATGACACCATGACCAGGCCCCTGATTCCTGCCCTTCCACGGCCACCAGCTCCCTCACGGAATAAAAATTGAAGAAAGGAAAAGTCATAAATTAGTTGTTTCCCTGCTGTACATCCCAACCCCTTCTTAATTTCCCAAGTAATTTCCTCAAAATATGTAAGTTTTCGAGTCTTGTGAGGTCAATGAACACATATTTGTACAAATCATCCAAGCTAGGCAAACCTTTACATGGAAGAGAAAGTTCTCAGTAGCCTTAATTCTTTGAAGCCATTCAGCACATGTGATCCATAGAAAGCGCATAGACAACAGAAAAAAGGCAAGCCTGGACCAGTTTAAAATTCACCATGACAAGCTCAGCCAGTTGACGAGGAACATGGAACTTGGTCATTCTAAGCGTGCATATCCTGATAAATATTAACCATACATCAAGAGAGAGAACCTTTAGAACACAAACTGCAAGTATTTAAGGCTTTAAAAAGAAGAGATTTCTTGTATCCACTTTCTGTAAAAAACATATAGGCCGGTGATCAATGCATGTGTCTGTGGTCTTATCTTGTGCACCGATGCCACTCGCCAATCTAATAATAGGGATCTCTATCTCCTACCCTCTGGATAAAGGGATAGATGACCTTACCTCGTTTCCATTTTAGGGTGTGACTAAACTAGTAGCCCTAGACAAAGCAAAATTTAGAAAAGAAAAATCACAAACACAAGATGTTGCATGACTGAGCAATAGAGTCACTAATTTCTTGCACAAAGATTGCATGATTAAATGACATAAATTCCAAACATAAAAGTGCCAAACTTAAACTGGTATTTGTACGAAATTAGGATTAACAATGATGTTTTTATTCTTCTTCCAAACATATTGAACTCAACTTACGTATTTTATGGAAGAAGAATAAAGACATCAATACAGTATCTAATTTTGAATAAAATGAACAATATTGGAGTAAATAAGCCAACAAACTTAAACTGCTTTACTGCAATTATGGACATAGCATAAAGGAGATCTCTCACTGGACAATCAAACAAATTGTTGGCCAATGAAAAGAGCAAATAAGATTAAAAATATCTTTTACACTGACCTTTCCTTCATCCTCAGATCTTTGCTCCTGCAGGCTTGAAACAATCAATATTGCACAATACTGCTGATCTCATCATCTCTCCAAAGCTGCACCACCGATTTTAACAGTCAAAAAAGAAAGCTTTTGCATCTATAATAATATCCCAAGGTTCAAAAAACAAAAAATGTAAGCTTAGGCAGCAAAGTTAATCCAACCGGTCAATGCTGTTCCTAGCTCTTTCCGGCTGTTCTGAGTTATTATTTGCTTTTTCAGAAAAATCCACACTCTTTCGAGATCTTTCTCTCCTGTCAACACTGGCTCTTGACTTCTCTCTAAGGTCTGACATTGCTTTAGGTTTCTCCCTCTGGTCAATACTCAGCCTAGACTTCTCTCTCTGATCCGTGCTTGATCTAGGTCTACAATCTGTGCTGTTACGGGCAGCGTCCATTTGATCTGAAGGTGGCATTGAACCACTTCTAAAATGCGATGACTTCTCTATAGCTGATATAAATTTCTTCAGATGCTTAATATACTCAGGATAAAGCTCCAAATCACAATGGTTGCCGCCTTTAACCCATAGTGGCTCATATTTCTCTTTACATAGCTCCCAAAGCTGCTTGCCATGAGAGCAATCCACAACGTCATCTGCTGTTCCCTGTAAATGCCAAAAGCAGCATATCTAAGAACAGCAACTGGGAAATTTCCAATTTGAGAAGGTCCAGCTGCATTGCATGGTGAATCACTATATGAAATTATTGTACAACATTTATGCCACTGATGAAGCCAACAAGGAATACCGGCAAACGGGTTTTCCATTTACTATTGCAAAATGTCAAAAGAAAAAGGACAAAGAAAAAAAAAAGTAAGTTACCAACATCATAAGAAAAGAAAATGCAAAATAATTACACTAAAATTCCATCTTGTCCCAATTTTTTCTTTTGAGTGGAGAAAAACTCCTGATACAACATAGACAATGGTAGAACAGCAGATAATACTTACATGGATTACCAAAACAGGACACTGAACCAATGGTATTTTCTCGATATTCTGCATTTCATAAAAACAAAGGGAAAAAGAAAAGGCAGAGTTAAGCAGGAATGAGAATTGAGTGTGGGTAAAATTGATCAGACATGAGGACTGGCTCCACATTCATATTCACGTTAAAGAATGCTACCTTGTATATATCAAACCAATAAGTGCGCTTCACTGGATACATAACACGAAGACCAGACATGATTGGACTGTGAAGAACCACAGCCCTTAACCGTGATAATCTGGATGCCAAATCCAAAGTTGGACCACTACCAACAGATTGCCCATATAATATTATATCTTCTTCGTTTGCCCCATATTTCTCCAGAAGACATCTATATGCCGCTTCTATGTCAGCATAAGTGTTCTGCTCGCTTGGCTAGTACAAATATTAAAACAGACAACTTAGTCGAGCATGCCCTAAATCAGAAACTACTTCGAAATGGAAGAAAAAAGTTAGACTCAAGCCTCCATACTCTACCTTTCCAGTAGACTGTCCATATCCTGAATAGTCATACCTGCCCAAAACATTTTCGGGTAAACAAATCTCAAATGTCAGGATGTGAATAAGTTTAACATGCACAAGCATATATAAGAAAGCAGTTCAACTTGTCGTCTGTGCACAAAAAAGTTGCCGTCTTTTCATCCACCTCACCTCGACAAGGATAAAAAAGGATTAAAAACTAAAACCACTTGAAATATAAGCTTCCCCAACAATTTCAAGTCTTTTAAATTGTCAGAGAAAAGCAATATAATCAGGCATGAGCTACTGATCCGCTCCCAACAATCAAATACCAATTACTATCGAAACAGAAAAAATAAGCATCGCAAAATGGTTAGAACTCGCGGTCAATCTCCCCTGTCAAAAAAATAAATAAAACCACTAACTCTCCAGTGGCCCATCACGAACTCAGTAGCTAAATCTACCGCACTCGCTTTCATGGTTGCATTAAAAATCAAATCTTTTGTAGCAGTGACATATGAATACATGCATGAATGGTCTGAAAACAACTGGGAGTAGCCAAAAAAGAGAGCACCCCATCAAGTTGACGCGTAGATGAAGGCTGAGTTCGCTGAAGAGGTCATACATCTGGCCCAGATCAGCAGCGTTGCCGTGGGAGTAGAGCAAAGTGAGGGACGCAGCCGGGTTTTTAACGTAGAGAGCCACAATCCGGGCCCCCCTCTTGGTCGCCAGCCTCAAAACGTCGACGTTGTCCCTCTCGGCGACTCCCGTCATCCTCAATTTCCCGGTCCCTTCGTCCTCTGCCACCCCATACGAGGGTGGATTCGGCGGAAAAAACGCAAACTTGGCAGCCATCGTGGACGTCACGGCCCCCATCCCTCCCTCCAATGTAGATAAATATACCTCCGAATAAATCAAATATATCTATACTTGAAAAACCTTCTCTTCTTGTAACACTAGAAAGGATTGCGGGATTGGGAACATAGAAGGCGCTCCATATTAATGTTAGGGCTTCTACGAGCTAGATTAGATTTGTGCATACAATAATAAACTCCTCCACCATCATACTACTAATAATATAGATATAGATATATATAGATATATTACGCACTACTAATAAATTACAAGGAAATAATTTTAGCCGTAATACATACAAAAAAGAAGAGTGTATAGAAATGTAGTATATAGATTTACAAAGAGGGAGAGAGTTTGAACGGAGGTGGGGAAGGAAAAGAGGAGGGATTTCCGCGCCGTTAAAAGGGTAGGAGGCACGTGAGATTTATTAAGGACATGAGTTTTTGGAGCGGTCCAGGTTGTACGAAAAGATGGTGATGTGGATCTGGTTATTTGACACGTGTGGGGGCCCGGGGGGGTTCGAGGAAAATGATAAATTTTTTTGAGTTATAAAAGATGAGACAGTTTAACGGCTTCGACAGGATGATGGTGTCGGAAGTGGGAAGTCTGGGCCGGGTTGAGGGAAGACTGGGAGAGGTCCGTCCGTCGGGGACTTGGGTCCGACATCCCTTTGCCTAATAGCTAGTTTGCTGTGCCGTGTCCTTTTCGTTTTCGATTGTTTGAGGTACTAGCATGTGTATGTAGGTATCTATGATGGAGCCAGTAGTGGTAGTAGAGTGTTTCTGTGATTGGCTGTGGATGGATGGACTTATCTGATGACTTGGAGGATTTGGCTTGTTGGTTTAACGATAAATAAAATATGACACGTGTGTGATTGCAAAATGCGTTTATGATATCAAGTAAGTAGATAAATTTGTGTAAATAATTTAGGTTGTGTTTAGATTGTATTTTTTTTATATTATTTGTAAAAAAAATTACTGTAACGATTTGATATATATGAGATAAAAAGGTAATTGAAAAATGTGTTCACCGCAAATATAGCAATTTTTCTTTGAAAAACGGCTGTTCAAACAAGGCCATACTATCTAAACACACTCAACTCAACTATTCTTGTGGACACTCCTCGGGGTTGGCTCGGCTGATGCTGGGGGTGCCTCCTTAGGGCCTGACACCGTGTGGTCGCGGTTCGATTCCTGTTATCGTCTTGTGTCTTCTGAGGGGGTGGGGGCACAAGTGAAATGGGAATAGTCGGGTTCGAAAATATAATCCGTCGGATTCCGGATACCCATTACGTTAGGAAAAAAAACGAAACTATTCTTGTGGACATTGCACTGTTGTATTGGGA